AAAAAACCCTGTCTATAAAGGAATGTAGGTAAAGGAAGAAACATGATACTATGACAAATTAATTAATTACCGCTTGGAGATCTGTGAGGTCTGTTGCATAGCTCAGCAGCTTATCATCACCCCAGGTAGGACATTCTTCTTTCGAAATACAAATCACTTTAAAATCTAGTCGAAGTAACTCCTGTACAAGCTGAAAACTGATAGTTTAATATGTAAAATGGATGTAGTTGTGCACCTTAGCTAGTCGCACTTTAAAAAAGTAGTTGACCTTGGCTCCGATAGTACCACTAGCACCAGTAACAATAGCTACTGGATCCTTTAAACTTCTGTAAAATTTGCTCTTTACTGATGCATTTTTTGATGCCTAGAAATAAACGATTCAGAAAATGGAAAACTGGTTTAAAAAAATTACTGTTAAACCATTTTAATGGCCAGGAACAAACTTAATTGACCTACCAAACATTAAGATTTAAAAATCTGGTGAAAAATTACCAAACAATTACTTTTTGAATAAAATTATCATACAGGAATTCTACAATGGTGTAAAAAATTCCAAGAATGTACATGTATATTATTGCACGCAATCCTAAATAACATTTGTAAAAGCGACCCATTATTGAACCTGAAAAGCAGCTTTTATTACAAGTGGAGCTCCTTGAAAACGACAAAAAAGCAGTGCTTATTGATAATATCAATGAGTGATACTTTAACTATAATATGAAAAAAAGCATCATTAAAAACCAAAATCAAAAGAAAAGAAGTGCAGAGACTATAAAAAATTGAGGCAAAAAGGATGCACATACTTCCAAGTATTACTCAGTCAACACTTTGAAATGAAAAATAAAATGTTGATAAGCTTGTAAAAATTAGGCAGTTTCATTTATTTGAAACTACTACTGTCTCGAACTCTACTTGAATCCTCGTACTGTTATGGAATAATTTTCCATCGGTCATTACATTAGGAAACTCCCAAAAAAAATTCAAAAATCCGTCTTAATTATCCAGATTCTGGATTTCGATTTACTAGATGCTTCCTAAAACCACGTCCTAATTAAAATTCCCAGTCTTCTAATGAGATGTCCAGCATTACAAAAAAAATTCCAGTTATTTCTTAAAATGTGAAAAAAAAATCACCTTTGAAGTATCCACGAGATACTTGGTGTAGTACTCTTCTTGCTGCTTTATAGTCGAGAATGGGTTTGAAAAATAAAGGGAAACTCTATGGTGGCCATTTTGCTGTTCAACAACTCAAAACAACGACAACAAACTCCATGAATTTTTCTCCCAAAAAACAATGACAATCAAAACAACGCATTTTCCTTTCAAATTTTATGATCTCTATTAAAGTGTGGAATGTCGTATTCCACTACAATTTGTGGAGAAATTCATCTGCTTTTACCTCTCAAAAGGTGAAAAAAAAAAGCATTTACACGTCATTAACCTATCGTATTATAGAACATTCTTTCACCAAATGAACATATATCGTTATCAATGACTTCAGAAATGTTGGAAATGTAAGTGTCTACAAATTCAAACCTATTCAACAGTGGCAGAAATACGTAAAAAGTATGCAGTTCAATATCAGCCAAATTTTAACAGTAACTAACTGTCAAAAACTAATAACTGCCTCATAACTCGAACGTTTCTGCCCCACTTACACTGTACCAAAGTCTAATCAGTTACTTTACAAAGCACTGTACGACAGTGGTTCAGATACACGTCACAAGATCCTCTTCAAGGTCGAAATTTCCCGTAAAATGGCAACAAAAAACTGACCAATTATACCGCTGTAATAGGTAATGTACAACTAAAAACATGTTTTTCTCTCTTCTCTCAAATCGATAACTTTATAAATGACGAAAAAAAAAGAACATTTTTTCATCCTTAATTCACTTTTTTCTTCAATCAATTTCCTATCTCCCCTAGCTTCCGTACGACCATGCATCTTCAAACATTTCAATATAAACTTCAGTTCTCGGCTTCGCAGAACTGACACTTAGCAATACACACAAACCAATTTACCATAATTTGCTTTTACACTTCAAAAATAGTTTTTCCAAAACATCCACACCATACAACATTTACCTTAAAAAACTCCAATCAAATAAATCTAAAATCATCTTGTCAATATCTCACTAAATCAATACCCAAGAAATTTCTATGTTATTCTTCTGATAGCGATAGCAAAAAAAATTACTGGCTTGCAATCATCAGCAAAATCCAATCTCCTTTGTACGTTTCCCAAAATCAATGTATAACGGAAATGTTACCAAAAAAACAGCTATTCAAGCGTAAACTGTCTACCGTTATAGGAAATGTAAGTTCTAAACTGTACTTCGTATTCCAAAAGGGCTACCCTCCCTTCTACACCATACTTTCTTGTTCAATTATTCAACCAACCATTTAAAAAACAATCACTTTTACTAATTCAATTTTGCAAAAATGATCTGTGACCAAAGAGTTAATGGAAATTACTTTCCACTACAAGTTCTTTGAACTCGTTTCAATCATTATCGGCAAACCATAACTGCTGTGTCAACTTCAATCTCACTCACAAGTTTATCAACAGATTAAGAATAACAAAGGTATCAAGAGCATCCAACAGTGTGCAGTAAAACAAAAAAAAAAAAAAAAATTGAGTTAACTCCTGCCTGTCAAGGGGAAAGTTATAATTTCACAGCACAGAAGATAATTGTTCAGTTCAATAGTACATTATTATAATTCAAAAGTTGTTGCACTGTAATATTAGAGCGCACAAGCACACTCTGTTTTGCTGCCTAATTCATAGTTAAGGCCTTAGCCTTAGCAGTGGAAATATGGATAAACCTTCCGAATCATTTCTGTAACTGCCCGTTATTAATCGAGATCTATACGCCGTGAACTGTATCAAATACCCATATAATAATGAAAACACCGCACCTGAAATTAATGTGCCAATTACAAGCAACAAGCTGATTAAACTTGTTTCGTCTTAAAAAATACCGACACTCCCTTCTATAACACAGGCAACACACCTTTGAAGAAATTTTAAAAAAAAGGAGAACTAGGCAGAGCAATAATAAAAGAAACTCATAACCAGGGCTTGACGGATGGTAACTTCATTGCAACGTCAAGCGCCAAACTTCTGACATAAACACCGACAGACTAATTAAACACGGCTACAATAACAAAGAGTCATCTGTCAAAACACCATCCACACTGTAATGAGCATCATGACGATAAAAAACAAGTATGAACTTCAGCATAACAAGTTAACTAATTCTAACATTTGTAAAAAGCTTCTCTGCATGTCTTGTTTTTTAGAGTACAATAACCAGTGTGCGATACATCATAGGTGTGAAAATTCCAAATAGATGAAAACAAATGATAATAAGATACCAAAGACGAGAAAAGAGAAGCCTCACCTTCAAAGTTATAAATGCTTTGCAGTGTCTTTCAAACAAAACACAGAAATAACATCATAATTTATTCACGAATTCAGTAAGTAAACAGAGAACAATTATGGAAGGACAATATCCCATAAACTATACAACAAAACTAGACATCCTCTTATCAAGAATAAAAATGAAGCTGAGATAACCACAGTCGCATTGTATAAAAAATACGGCACGTCGGACACGTCACAAAACCGGTCCTCATCCACGACCACGTCCATGCGACAACAGTATGAGAGACCTGCGCCAAAGTGCATTTACAATGAGTTTTCAAGTCAAAATAAAAACGAGCAAAAATAGTAGATTAACAAAACGAGTCGCCTGTACTCTTAATTCAGCCTTTTATAAAATGAATGCCTCGACAACATAAAATAGAAAGTTAGAAAAATAGACAGAAAATCTCTTAAATTCAAATATTTATACCTTTATGAGCACACTCAACTTTTAAATCTATAAAAACCGGAGGTGTAGAAGCTGCTGAAACACTGCAGTTAGTTTAGAGAAATTGTACATTAGGTTAGCGCAAATTAATCTTGAAAAGAAACGGTCGACGAGAAGTTTAAACATCAAGAAAGAATATAAGTGACAAATCAAGCGTTTTAAAAAAAAATTTTAGAAGCAACATTGACTAAAACTGATGTATTTGAACTGCAATGATTGAACCAAGATCGATCATGTACAGATAACAGAAATGTATGAGAGGCAGAAGTACATATCCACGATTACAAAAAACAACGGCGCAAAAATAATTTCATTAAAAAACTCTACCATTAACTTAATTCCAAAACTTTTACTTGACTTGAATTATTCAATTCAAGCAAAGCCCTAATGCTGTTACAGAATATAAATCGTCTCAAGAAGTGCGCGCGACAAACTTTAAGACAAGAAACACAGAAGCAGACAAGAAACTAAAGCAGGACTTGGTTACAAATCAGAGAGACGCGCTGCGAAGAACAGCACGACGCCCCCCTGAAATTGCGCCAATTTTAACACTGAGGTTAATGAAATTATAGAACCTAAAATTTCAGTCCTATACCAGATTACTGAAAGATTTAGAAAAATAATGTAAAAAGTACATAAAGACAACTAAGGAACTGTTCACAATAAAACGCAAGCACATTAAAAACCTTCAATTTTTTACAGCTCCTTACTCCTCACTAAATTTCATTACACTCACAACAAGCAGGAGCACTAATTGATAAAAAGCAGTGCGTTCCAAAATAGGAATTAGAGACAGCACCAAAAAATATTCAAGAGGAATTAAGACTGGCTATAAATTCCAAAAGACCAAAAGAAAATGAAAAAAAAAACAATAAGGGCACAAAAATAATAAAATGCTGAATAGCAAAACAGCCTTCCTGACATACTTAGAAAGTAGAAGCCTTCTACAAAAGGCATAAATAAAAAATACAACACTAAAATTCTGTCAAGGCGATAAAGGAAAACAATAAGTGTTAGGTCTCTGTATATTTTAATTCCATTGTAAATAAAAAATAAAAATATATATAAATTAAACAAACCTGATAAAAATCCAATTTGTCGAGAAGCAGATCAAGAAAAAAAATCCAAGACCAATAAGAATATTCAAAACGAGTAAAATCCATAAAAAAAAACGAGATGCTGATTAGATTGACATCAATAAGCGGTGCGTCGGACAGAGGAATGGCGAGGTGAATAGTCATACCGCTCTCGCGAACGAGAACGACTGCGTGATGTACGACGATGTCGTTTCCGTGACGACCTTTCTGGAGTGCGCGAGCGATCACGATTAGAATGTCGTTTACGGTTGGAATTGAATGACTTCGTTTCAATCCCGCGAAGAGTGTCCTAATAAAAAAAAAAAAGATTAATTGGCTTCAATGTGCCAAAATACCAAAGAGACCTTACTAACTAGTGTAATACTGGTTTGCTCAACTCAGGAGTACTAACTATAAATGTCTTCTAAAAATACTGCCTGGTCAAGACTTTAATGCAAACTAAAAATTTTATTTCATAAAACTGCTTTTTGTAGGACACTTAGCAGATTGTAAGAAAAACCTGGAGCGAAGTGATGAGGACTTTACAGCGTTCATCGTTCGCTACTGGGCTCTGCTTAATTAGTGATATTGCCGTAACAAGCGTCTCGATTGCTGATGCGTAATCATTTGCTGCAGCATCACTTACCGCCCTCGTAATGGCCGATGACGAAACGGTTCTATTTCTGTTCATAATTTCCTCAAATTCTGCCTCTGGCAGCCCCTCTACTGAACTTGGT